CTTGGCCATTCCTGAAGTTTGGACAACTCGAATTGAATTGGACATGAATGAGAGAGTGGTCTGAATGAAAAGTCGGCACATGTGAGACCCGATTCCATTGAAAGGCTTCCCGCGAAGGTAAGTTACAAACCGCTCTGTCCAAACGCCCCCTTTGAGTGAATCGGTCGATAGAAAGACGACCCCAGGTAAACTGATAACCATTGAAACCCATATCTGACAAACCACAGTGTTTCAAAGCTGATCGAAAGTTTCTGATTTGTTGTTCTGGTCGAAATCGCAAACCGAAAAATTCCTTCTGGGTAAGGACTTCATTAAAATCTCCAAGACAGATCCATGGCACCAAGCAGTCATCTTTAAGGTTCTTAAAACATTCCCAAGCCGCAGATCTCAACGCGACATCTGGTTCTCCATAAACTCCCGTAATGCATACAGGAGTGTTCAAGAGAGTTGCATCAACATCAATATGATTTTTTTGAAAAACTTCTAAGTGAAACCAAAACATCCTTTCTCCATAGCAGAGCTAAGCCTCCAGAATTCCCAATTGAGTCAACAGCCAAGCAGTTCATCCCCTATCGATATTTGAGGGTATCAAGCTCAGAGGAACGACACTTAATTTCGGAGAGAAAAACCTCAGAGGAACGACACTTAATTTCGGAGAGAAAAACCAAGTGGGGCTTCTTCATGTGAACGTGGTCGCATACTTCATGAATTGTCTGGAGGTTCCCAAGCCCCTGGCAATTCCAAGCTATAAGACTTATGGTTCTCGGCAGGACTGGCCATGCGCACCAGTCTCCGCCGTTGTAGTCTTGTGTAGTTCAGGTGGACAAGTTATATCTGTAGCCAGCTCAGAGGGCCTTTGCCTTCGATCTGTGGCAAGAGGTGGTTCATCTGAATCAATCTCGGTGAGTTGCAGGCAACGTTTAACTCCAGAGGTGGGCTTCAAAGTAATGGCTGGGGGTTTGGGTGGCCTGCTAGTGGAAGCGCAGTGCTTGAAACGAGTTGAGGTAGTACGTTTAAATGGCGAATCAATCTCAATTGGAACTTCTGTCATAAACGGGCTAGAAAGAAGCACAATGTGGGAGTTAGGGGGACGGTCAGGTGGAGAGGATGAGCCATTAGGATAGGGCATGGTAGATGGCATTGGGGAGCTGGGGTTGCGGGGATTAGATACAGGCAACTGGCCAAGGGTTTGATCGGGGTGAATTATTTGTATAGTGACTGAACGAGGTATAGGAGGGATCGATGGTTCGAAGGAATAGATAAATGGTTGGCGAGAGCTTTGGTTGGTCAAAATATGAGAGGTAAGGGTCTCAGTGGGGGTGGGAGGTGGAACTTTTGCAGGTGGGTTTTCTGTGGGCTTAAGGTGTTGCAACAATAACTCCAATACTCTCCCAACTGGAATCATCATAGGAGGAGTTTGGGAGGAGAGCCGGAAGGGTGGAGGGACATAAGATGTAGGCTTGAAGGTGGCTAGACTAGAAGAAGTAAAAGGTGGATCGGAGGAGAATGGTGGGGGAGGGGGGAGTTGTTAGACGGTACATGCTCAGGTGACGGTGAACGGGCATCAAATTGACGCCGTTGCGGGAAAGCGTTACTTCTAGTTTCAGCTCTAAGAAATGGACCATACTTCATAGGGCCAGATTCCGGGTGTGATTCCAAAATTCGCTGCTCACATTACTGATACACATGACCGATGCATCCACAATATTAGCATAATTCCGGCAAACGCTCGTACCGAACTTCTGCCAAAAAGGGTTTCCCTTTGAACTTTGCACAAACAACACCCTTTAAGGGTTTGGAGATGTCAATTTCCACATGAATACGGAGGAAGCGGCCAATTATTGAACCTTCTGTATCTCGATCAACTGAGAGGAAACGACCCAAGTTGTTGCCTGTTTTTTCAGCAAAACCAGCATTCAGTAGTCCAAGAGGAAGATCGTGAATATGTATCCAGAACGGGCAGCGAGAAAAATCCATATGCGAAAAGTTCATATCATCAGGAATGTCACACAGGACTAGTAGATGGACTCGTTCGATCATCCAAGGGGAGGTTTGCTTAACCCTCAATTTGTCCACCATGGTTGAAAAGATAAACAACACCAGATTATTACCCAGCGGCTTACACGAAAGTTTCCCTCGAGGATTCCAGGCACGTAATGGAACTGACAATAGCATTGTGAGGGATAACCCTCGGAGCAATTACTTTCCCCACAAGACAAAGCACAGGATCAACATCAGGAAGGTAATCAGAGTCTCCATCAATCTCTTCCCTGGCGTCATGGAGAGAGAGCCGAGAGCAAATTTCATCCAAGTTATGTTCCATGCCAGCAAGATTCGGATATGGTTGGACAACCCAAGGACAGACTGAAGCAAAGCAGAAAAGACGCGAACTTTAGGTCTAGGTCCGAACCCTAAGCGAGATCTGTAAAACGTAGAAAAATAGGAGTTATAACATAAAAAACAGGAAGCAGAAGTATCAGATTAGAGAGCAGAAAGATAAAAATTAAATTTGATTGAAGAGAGGGGAAGCAGGTTGTAGAAAACAAGGGTGAAGAGATCGGAGGAGATAGGAGCGCCGTTGGAAGCCTTTCGCATAGAGGAAACCCTAGCGCTTTTTCCTTTCTTCCTTTATTTTACTTGTTTTTGGTTAATTTTTGCTCAGATGGAGAGAGGTTTGATTTGCGATAAGATCAGAAAGAGAAGGGAGCGATTGGAAGAAGGCCGTATGGGCGCCGTAGAGAAGCCTTTCGCTAGAGAGAGAACCCTAGCATGTTGTTCATCAATTTTGATTGCAAGATCTTGTCTAACGACACTCACTTGTTGTGAAGACTTCCCAATAGAGATCCTTCCTGAAGTTTGGAGATCAATTGTGTAGAATGTCAATGTATGCAAAACGGTCACCGAGACGCATGCTCTATGTAGTAGAGTCGGCTCAGACATTTTTTTTTTCAATTTTTCTGTGCTAAAATGATTGTTCACTTTAAATTTTTATTTTTGTTGAAAATTAAAACTGGACAATTATTTTAAAACGGAGAAAATATCTTGTGCATAGTATCTGAAATCATTATTCTAATTGATTCCGATTCAAGCCCTCAAAATCTTTTTCGAAAAGTAAAATTTTCTCGGTAAGTATTTTTATAATCACTAATGCATGTTTACACTTATCTCAACACGTATGTTTCTTGTAAATCTTTTACTAATGTATTCTCTATACTTATCTCAACACGTATGTTTTTTGTAATTTCTATACCAAATGTATTTCTTATACTTATTCCAACGCATATGCCTGTACTCACTATTTTTTTCCCATGATCGTACCCAAAAACATAACTAACAACTCTCGGAGGCTTAGCTTCAAACGAGAAAGCAAACGAACAATGATAATAAATATAATCAATAATACGTTAATGCTATTCATCTTTAAATTTAACCAGATTTGGCCGTCGGAAAACCACAAAATACAACAAGATGAAAGCTTACCAACTTTCAGCCTGTTTTTTGGCCTGATAATTAGAGATTAATCACTTTAGTAAGATTGATAAAACTTTTTGTGCTAAACTTTTTTCTTTTTTTGGGTAAAATGAAGGAGGACAATGCTTATAGAAAACTAGCTTTGCGTTATAACCACGTAATTAAGATTAATCATAAAAAAGAAAAACGCAACCTCTTCCTTTAAAGTACAATACAAGAAATAATACTGAAATATCGTACATCAATTGCTACGTGACAGTTTATTAATACCTTGAATATCTTGCTGTAAATATTAAATACACAATACATCCTCATGATTTCGTGATAGTTGTTTACTATTAAACCACCATATTCATGTTTAATAATAGAAAAAACTTTTGAGATTGGTCAGTAGAGATTGGTTATAGTACTAGACTTTACTTATAGATAGAGGCAAATTTTGTAGCCGACTCAATGGCTTCACTACAGGTGTCGTCCAGTTTGAGTGTAATACATTATGTAGACCCATTGACGTGTGTTTAGGGCTGGCTCGATCATAATGCAAGAGGGGCATCACACCTCTCCGAAATGTATTAATATGAATATAAGGTCTTTTCCTCCTTTTGTTCAAAATAATAATAATAATAATAATAACAGAAAAAACTTTGTAAATTTTTTCAAGCAAACATTTTGAGCATTCCAAACGCTTCTATTGATCATGAAAAATCTTACGAAATCTACTCGTTTATTGACTTCCTCTGCTCGTTTTTCCTCTCTCAGAAATCTAATTTGAATTTGGTTGAATTTAAATCCTAATATTTGGCATTCAAATGGAAAACCATTCTTTTTTTTCTCCCGTAACAATCAATCACCGAGGCACACCATTTAATTTAAGCTTATTCTGATTCCAACGCACACGGCACATCTCTTACAATTTTTACACTTTTGATATATATATATATATATATGTATATATATTTTTATACTTTATGTTTAGATATTTTTTTAAGTGTGTGTTTTGAAATATTTTTTATTAAGAATGTGAAAAAATGTGTTGAAAATATATATATAAAAAATGCTGGGACATATATCTGAATCCTAAATATAGCTGAAAACAAAATGCTATAGACAAGGTTCATGTCTAGAACTCTAGATTACTTAATTGGTAAATTGAGAGTGTAATGTCCCTCCCCCAAAAAAAAAAAAATTTAATACTACAGTAATTGTTGTTATTTTTTTACGATGATTTGTTACTGGTATTTTAATAACTCTTTTTATCTGGCATCCAGCGAAGATTACCTACGTGTCAAATTCCAATTGCCGTTTCATTTCAGTTTGAACGTGTTAGAGTAGTCTAGCACACACGCGATTGGGACCGTAAAACGAACAAATCCATACGTATAAGAACACCTTCCGGCAGCACCGATCAACCGACCACGAAACACCGACGGTCCAATTCTCCGGCGACCACCGCTCCACTACGATTGGCAGTGGTCAAAATTGAAAAATTTCACAATTGGATTTCCCGGTGACAGGAGCACAGTCCTACGATGAGCTCTCCTCCGCCGGAAGACCCTACACCCCATATAGACGAAGAAGCCCATCTCCTCTCCACCTCATCCATTCCGTCCTCGCCACCGTTTGTCGACGGCGGATTTGAAAATGTTTCAGAGGAGGAGGAAGAAGTCGCGTACGAATCTCGGGAGAAAGTTGTGATCGTAGACGTCGAATCAGACGAGATAAACGGCGGAGATTGCTCCACAGTACCACCGTTTTCGTTCAAGAAGTTATGGCTGTTTACGGGTCCGGGTTTTCTAATGAGTATAGCTTTTTTGGATCCGGGTAATTTGGAAGGGGATTTGCAAGCTGGTGCAATTGCGGGTTACTCTTTATTATGGCTGTTAATGTGGGCTACGGGTATGGGTCTGTTGATCCAGCTGTTATCGGCACGGGTCGGGGTGGCAACCGGCAAGCACTTGGCGGAGCTATGCCGGGAGGAGTATCCTTATTGGGCTGGGATTTTGTTATGGTTCATGGCGGAAGTAGCTTTGATTGGAGCTGATATTCAAGAGGTGATCGGGAGTGCTATTGCTCTTAAAATTCTTAGCCGTGGATGGTTGCCTCTCTGGGCTGGAGTTTTAATTACCGCCTCTGATTGGTATGGTTATCTTCCGCAGAAAGTTTCAATTTCTTACTTAATAGAATGTTTCAATGTGTTTTCCTCATCTTTTTTTTTTTTTTTTCAAGGAGTATAGGTTTAATTACTGGATTGCTAGGTTTATTGGTTTTCTGAGGCAATGTAAAGTGATTAATTCAAAAGTTAGATTGGAGGTTTCTCTTTTAGTTAATTCATAGTAAAGTGCTTTTAACGTGTTTTCATGTGATATAACAGTAATTAGTTTGATGCAAGGCCTTTTTTAGGTAATTAAAGAATCTTGTAATGAAATGGTATTTGAAATGCATCCTTGTTATGTTGATTGACTTATTTTTTTAATTTTCGTATTTGATTTTGGCGACAGTTTTATGTTTCTACTACTGGAGAACTATGGAGTGAGAAAGTTGGAAGCTGTTTTTGCTGTTCTGATATCGACGATGGCTGTATCTTTTGCTTGGATGTTTGCTGACACAAAGCCCAACATGAATGATCTTTTGATTGGACTTATAGTTCCAAAGCTGAGCTCAAGAACTATTCGTCAAGCTGTTGGAGTGGTGGGTTGTGTTATTATGCCTCACAATGTGTTTTTGCATTCTGCCTTGGTACAGTCAAGGAAAATTGATCCCAACAAAAAGGGCAAGGTTCAGGAAGCACTCAATTACTACTCAATTGAATCTTCTTTAGCCCTTGTTATTTCCTTTATGATCAATCTGTTTGTTACAACTGTTTTCGCAAAGGTGTTCTATGGCAGCAAAGAAGCTGATAGTATTGGTTTAGTAAATGCTGGGCATTATTTAGAAGCAAAGTATGGTGGAGGAGTGCTGCCCATTCTTTACATTTGGGGTATTGGACTATTAGCAGCGGGGCAAAGTAGTACAATGACTGGCACTTATGCAGGACAGTTTATCATGGGAGGTTTTCTGAACCTTCGTCTGAAGAAATGGCTTCGGGCACTTATCACTAGAAGCTGTGCCATCGTGCCAACCATTATTGTTGCACTTATCTTCAACAGATCTGAATCATCACTAGATGTGTTGAATGAGTGGCTAAATGTGCTTCAGTCCATACAGATTCCTTTTGCGCTAATACCACTTCTGACCTTGGTTGCTAAGGAACAAGTGATGGGAACCTTTAGGATTGGACCAACTCTAGAGGTATGCAAAAAACTCTGTTGATTGGTTTTCTTTGTGCAGCTTCGCTTGTATATGTTACTTTTAGTTTGAAGAATCAATGAGCAATCTTTAGTTGAAGTACCATATTTGCTAATCTTTAATCATGTTGGCATTATTTATTTATTTTTTTTGTTGCAGAGAATTGCATGGACTGTGGCTGCCCTGGTGATAGTGATTAATGGGTATCTTTTGCTAGACTTCTTCTCCTCTGAAGTTACCGGATTGTTGTTTGGCTTTCTGGTTTGTGCAGCGACTGTGGCATATTTAGCATTCATCTTGTATCTGATATCACGTAGTGGCGGTCCATTTTCCAACTGTGTCAACTTACCCCTCTTTAAGGGTTATGCATCGGCTGAAAATTGAGAGAGCATACTGTTTTGCTTCAGAAGAATAACAAAAACCAATTACAGCACTGATCAATGGAAGGCCTCCACCACCAGAGAGGACGGTCAGACCTGCATCCTTTGATCTCATGTGTTCTGACCATTGCACCCTCCAATTGGCATTTTGCATATACTCTGAAGGGTTGTACCATTTTTGAGGGTGGAAATTGTATCTTTGTTCCAGAGGTATATACCCATTTGATTGACAATGAGACAATATATATATCTGGATAAAGGTGCTTCTCTGGCTCAGTTGACCAAGTCGGACTGGCAAGAAAGAATGGCACCCAGTTTTGCTAGTAGATGAAGGTGATGCTCTGGGGTAGATGTGCATTAGTGTTTATTGAAGGTTTTTTCCTGTATATTAGAACAGTTCCCATTATTCTTTGTAAAGATTAGATACTTTCTTTCCTACAGATTTTAGAAACCAGGGGAACTTTCAAGTGACATTCATCTATAAACTTGCATTAAGGGAACCTTTTCCCTGCGTACGACTATAGAAATTTCCCCCAGCAATCATTATATTGCTTTCAGGTTTCTTCAAATGGTTCAAATCTCTCTTCTTTTTCTTCTTCTTTTTTTTAATATATATTGTTTTAGCCCAGAGAGCAGCTGTTCATGGAACTCTGAAAGGTTTTGGTGTTTCAAGTTTGCAACTGAAGGAGCAGGCAAGCCAGATTTCCATTCCTCTGCTGCTTGCTTGGATGGCCTCCATTGGAGGTTTGGAAGCTTTCATCATTTATGATCTTTTTCCTTCGTTAATCCGTATTAGCTGTAGACTTCCGGTTAGCAAACACTCAATAATTCAACTTCGAGCACTAAATTGATGCTACCCCATTGGAAAATATCACTGTGATAGGATAAGATACTTTGCTGCCTTCATTCGAAGCAGGAATGAAATCTGTCGATATTGACATTATTTGATTCGACCTTTTGATTGTAGCCAATCCTTTGTGGGACACAGACTTTATCGAGTCACTGTCAATCATTTTATTTTTTGGCTCAATAATAACTACAGTCCCTCGTACTCCTATTAGGAAAAGAAAAAGAAATGGTTCTCCCTCATGCCAGCTTATATATGTTAGGGAAGTCTGATGAAATTACATCAGGAGAGAAAAATGGAAGCAGCTGTTGAATACATTGCAGGTTTTGCCATCTTTATCTTATTCATCTTGTGCTTGTTCATTAAGAATCAAGTAGGGAGAAGAAACCAACCTCCAAGCCCACCTTCACTACCTATCATAGGTCATCTTCATCTCCTGAAAGAACCATTCAACCAGACTATGCAATCCCTCTGTGCCGAGTATGGCGATGTCTTGCTTCTTCGGCTAGGGGTTCGGAAGGTACTTATTGTCAGCTCGCCTTCAGCTGCTGAAGAATGTTTCACCAAGAATGATATTATCTTTGCCAACCGCCCCAAAACTATGTCGGCCAAACACTTTAGTTATAACTACACCACCATGAGTGTAGCTCCATATGGAGATTATTGGCGGAATCTTCGCCGTTTAGCAGCACTTGAGATATTCTCTCCAGCTCGAATGGCTTCTTTTGCCGCCACAAGGAAAACAGAACTGGTGTTGGTGCTGAATGAACTGATGAGGAAGTGCAGAATAAATGGAGGATCAGCAATGGTTGACTTTCATTCTATTTCTGCTGAGCTTACTTTTAATATGCTTTCAATGACTTTGGCTGGGAAGAGATATTATGGAGAGAACGCCGCGGATGATGAGGAGGCGAGGAAGACCAAGCTTTTAATCAAAGAGATGCTTGTGAATACTGTCAGGTCAAATAAGGGGGATTACTTGCCTTTCTTGAGGTGGATTGATTACAAGGGAGTGGAGAAAAAGTTCTCAACTTTGATGAACAGAGTTGATAAATTTATACAGGATTTGGTAGATGATCGTAGACAGCTTTTGTTCGGTAGCAGGATTGCAGAAGGATTCCATGGACAGGCAGATAAGCCAACCATGATTGATCATTTGCTTCAACTGCAAAAAGATGAGCCTGCATACTACACTGATCAACTCATAAAAGGAATTGTAATGGTGAGTAAAATAATACTCCCTCCGTCCCACAAAAATAGTCCACATAAATAGTCCACATTGAATTTTGAGTTTTGTACTGTTTTTAGTACAAATTTAAAAACTCAATGTGGACTAGTTTTTTAGGACTGACGTATTAGAAGTTGTGCGTTTAGGTATACAAGAGAAGAAAATTGATGCTTAATCCTGTTTCATTTTTTTTTTTTTTTTTTTTTTTGCAGATCTTGCTAATAGCAGCAACAGATACAGTATCAATAACAATGGAGTGGGCTATGGCTCTGCTTCTTAACAACCCTGAGGCTATTAAGAAGATCAAAGGTGAAATTGATGATCATGTACCACAAGACAGGCTATTGGAAGAGAGAGATTTGCCAAGAATGACTTACCTTCAAAATGTAGTCAAGGAGACACTGCGTTTTTATCCGCCAATTCCATTTATGATCCCTCATGAAGCTTCAGAAGATTGTACTGTGAGTGGTTACAACATATCAAAGGATACAATGTTACTTGTGAATCTGTGGGCAATTCATAGGGACCCAAAGCTCTGGGAGAACCCAATGAAGTTTATGCCAGAAAGGCATGAAGGGAGGAGACATGATGATTATAGCCTGATGCCATTTGGTGCTGGAAGGAGGGGATGCCCCGGGGCGGGGCTGGGAACTAGGATTCTGGAATTCGTCTTGGGGACTTTTGTTCAGGCATTTGAGTGGGAGAGGACCAGTGAAGAGCTGGTGGACATGACTGAAGGCAAAGGGTTTAGCCTTCCTAAACTCAACCCTTTGGAAGCAATTTGCAGACCTCGACAAGCTACCATTCAACATGCTCTAATCAAGTCCTCCTGAATTAGCTCTGGAATAATGACAGCCGATGGCCGTAAGCCAATTTATGCCTTAAAATGTTTTCTTTAATCACTTTGAAAGTCTCCCCGTTGTTGTTTATTGTTGCGAACGATTGATTCTTAAAAACAGTTTCAAGACTATTAAGGAGTGTCTGTTTGAGAGGATCTCAGGTCACAAAGAAGCACATGAAAACTTCTTAGTTGTTGTTGAGCTTCCTGGCTCATTGTCTCTGCAATTTCTTCATTAATCAATAAATCGTGTTGTTTTATGGGTCCGTTGATTATGGCTTATCATTCATCAGTTTCATTTCCACAATTTCAAGTTGATGATTTTCTGACACAAGAAGTGAACAAGACATTGTCCTGATTCCTGAGGCTAATAGATTACAAATGAGAAAGAAGTTTAATCATTTCTGGGCGCGTCCTACACTTAGCAACCAGAGGATTAGCCTTAGGCATAGTTAGCCCTGGACCTTCACTCATATCTACCAATTCCTCTCCAACTCTTTCCCAATCAAAACACTGAAGTACCAACCCTAATGTCAACTCAACAACTCTCATTGCAAGATTCTCCCCAGGACATCCTCTTCTCCCATGCCCAAATGGCATAAACACAAACCCATATTTTTGTCCTTCCATATCCACAAATCTCTCAGGTTTAAATTTCGTCGAATCCTCCCATAGCTCTGGATCATTCTGCATCGCCCATGAGTTCACAATTAGCATGGAACCCCGAGGAACTCGGTAGCCTCCTACAATGCATTCTTCGGATGATATGTGGGGGGCGAGAAGAGGGGCAACTGGGTACATCCGGAATGTTTCGTTTATAACTCCATGAAGATATGAGAGACCACCCAAGTCCGAGTCGTTAATGAGCCTTGAGTAACCGATTTTGACGTCAATTTCTTTCTGAGCTTTCGTCAGGCATGCCGGATTGTTCAACAGAGCTGATAATGTCCATTCCATTATGCCGGATGATGTGTCTGTCCCAGCTGATAACATCACCTGTGCATAATGACATTCATACATTTCAGTTTGGCAGGAAAGCTGTAGATTTATCATGAATGGGATGATTAGTATTGTTGAATAAAATTTTGATTTCTAGATTGTTAAGTTACCTGGATTATCCCTTTGATTAGCTCATCAGTATAGCATCCGGGTTCACTTTCTTGGAGGGACAAGAGAACATCAATCATAGTCTTGTTCTTGTTCTCATTTTCTCCACAAGGACTACTTTTTCTCATCCTTCTGCGTTCTTCGAGCAAATCCTGCATGAATTTGTCCCTCTTCTCTTGCAGTTTCTTCAGCTCATTCTCTAACTTTTTTGACCCACCAAACCATCTGAAAATTGGAACAAAATCAGCTACATTCATCGCCCCGGCCGCTCGGAAAGTCTCCGTGACAATCTCTTGAAACCTCATGGCTTCTTCTTTGTCGTGCTCATCATCGTCGCCATAGTACCGCTTTCCAGCGATCATTCTCATCATAATGTTCAGTGTCAGCTCAAAGAAGACTGATTTCATCTCAACAATGCCATATCCATCAGGTTTGGAGGCTTTCAGAAGCCGCTGAAGCAGAGAACGGACTTCTTGTTGGCGAATTTCAGTGAACATTTGGACTCTGTTACCGGATAAAATTTCAAGGGTGGCGATTTTTCTTAAATTGCGCCAGTGTTGGCCGTATGAAGCCCAAACCAGACTTGAATAGTTGTAACCAAGGTATTTTCCTGCAAGGAATCTGGGCTTATTGGCAAAGATTAAGTCGTTTTTAGTGAAGCATTCCTCTGCAGCAGAAGGGCTGGAAACAAGAAGAACAGGGCGAGAACCAAAATGGAGGAGGAGGATGGGACCGTATTTTTCTGAGATTTGGGCTAATGTCCGGTGAAGTGGCTGCTTGAGGAGGTGAAGATGGCCTAATATGGGCAAATTCAGGGGAGGACTGGGTGGCAGATTCTGGAATTTCTTGATGATTTGATTGGTTACAAAATACAGAACCACGAAGATGAGGAGGTAGTTTACTGTCTCCATGGAGATGAAGATCACCATCTTCTCTAATTTTTAGCTTTTTCTTCAAATGTGAATATCATATAAGATGACTTCCTATGGATCTTATTATTTGATTCTGTCCTCTGCGTTTTCGGGGTTTTGTCCTCTTCTCCTTGTCTTTTGGCTAGAATCACATAAAGTATCCGTTAAGGAGTCACAAGACGGCACAAGAAAAGGAGGTGTTTCTTTATAAAATAAAAAATACTCCCTCCGTCCCATAATTATTGTCCACTTTGCCCAAAATATTTTGTCCCAAAATTATTGTCCAATTTGACTTTTTATGGATCAAGTTACACATTTGTCCTTAGTAAAAAATATTATCCATAAAATCTTAGTGGTTAAATAATTACTTATGTAGGGGTATATCCGGTTGTTTAAGGTAAAATATAGTTAAGTTTGACCAAAAATAAAATTTTTCATTTTAGTAAAACTGGACAATTATTATGGGACGGAGGTAGTAAAAAATTCTTCTACAGTCTTGTTGTATTGCATTAGTAAACCTTTGTCTCAGCGTGATTGCCTTGTTTGTTTAGACAATTATTTAAGGATAGAGAGTATACTAATTTCGTATTGCATTAGTAAATCATCGTTGTATGGGCATTATAGGTAAACTTAGAACCGGTCCTAAAATAATACTAATATGTTGGGCCAGTTTTTTGCGTCTAGGCCAAATAGAGATTTGGGCCACGCTGAGTCGGTGATTAGTGGGCCGAGATAGAAGATTATGGCGAGCGGAGTCCGAGTATTAATCAAAGTTCAAACTAAATTAGGAGACTAAGTATGATTGACCGACTTATTTCTTAAAAACTATATAAAGAGATTTGTGGTAGGAAGATAATAAAAAATTATTTCTTTTATTTTGTTTTTCATATTTCGTTTCTCCAATCTTTTTTTCTCTAAATTAGGGTTTTTTGTGGACTCATTGTCATAGGCCAGCATCTAGCTGGTGAACAAATTCTTAAATTCTTAATAAAATCTAGCTAAAAGCCGATTTTAAACAAAAGCTATACCATTATTGTTAGTTAAACACACAAAATTTGAACAATGACGCGCAATCGTTTGAGTATTTTACATAGTTCTTTCTCGGGCAGAAAAATTGTGTAAACATTATGATCAAGTTTTAGGGTATATAGGGTGTAAACATTATGATCAAGTTTTAGGGTATATAGGGTATAAACTTTAAACTCTTCAATCACATGACAATAAGCTAGATTTAAGGTCAAAACTCAAAAGTAATGTGTGACGAAGACCATGTAATGAACAACAAACAGTAGAGGCGGCATGATATCTGCCGGCGGTGCTGGTGATTACCACATGTCGACTGGCGTGCGCTCTTCTACGCTTACATTTGCCATGGATTTTTATTTAAAACAACCATTTTCTTAACAAAATTTTACTTTATTTTTATTCACATCTGTCGGTATTATAAAATTAAGTTTTGAAGAGTAATCAAAGGGAAAAAGTGGGGAAAACAAAAGCAAGGACAATTTTTTTCAAAAGACATAAAATTATCGTAGCATACAATTTTTAATCTTTTGTTTTAATAAATTTTGAAGTTCTTAATTTAAAAAATAAAATTCAGCGGAGGAGGCCATACTGCCGGTCCCTTCCTTCTGCCTTATTCTTTTGTTGTATCTAAATTAATTGTCATTTTCCGAATTCGTTGAATAAGGAAGCTAATCCATACTTATAAAAAAAAAACAAAAAAGAAAAATCGATCATAGGGTGACTATATCCTTTAGTTATTATTTCCCGTTTCAGAAAAAAATACTTCAATTTTTTATAAAAATAAATTTCTCTTAAAAATACTACGTTTGTCATTAAAAAAATAGTCTACATTATGTTCTGAAATTTATACTATCAAAACTTAATGTGGACTATTTTTTTGAGACGGAGGGAGTAATTCAGTTTAGTAAAAATCAAAATAATTTGGTTAAAATGAGTAAAATATTCTTATAACAAAATTAGTTATAATCAGTTGTTTTGGGTTAAAAATTAATTAAATAAAGGTAAACTTGGAAATGTGTATATAATTAGTTATTGCACTTTTGTTTAATTGAACAAAATTTAAAAATTGTACATTTGAAATATATATTTTCCCTAGAGCGTGGGAGTATTTGTTTTCATTCATTTCTTACTTTCTTATCCAACACAACAGACCCCTTTTCCAATCTCATTCCTAATTCATTTAAATAATTTTTCGTTGAAAATTGACGAAGCATGGATTCACACCGACGTCTCCAGTTAATTGATTCGACAGCTATGACGATATCGAAATCCTAAAACCTACAAAAGAGGATCTCGAGGTCTCCCGAGGGTAGACACTCCGATACTTAAGTCAGTAAGAGTAATTGTAATAGGGGTATTGATTATGGTGCGTAGAACGTACCTTTGATGTAAGGGGTTGATCCCTATTTATAGAGCTAGGTTATGAAACCCTTTTCTTGGTAGAAAAGTAATTAGCAACCGCCCTAGAAGTTTCCAGGGGCCGGTTGAAACGCTTGCTCGAACTTGGGCCGGCCTAGTCGTGGACCGTATAATTAGGACTCGTCAAGTGCCCCTTATCAAGCCTATACTTCGAAGTCTGAAGATAGATAGGCTTGATAATATGAAGTATAAAATTTCCTCAAATTTGGGAAAAACTGACTTAAATCGAGAACCTGCAACAGGTTAGCATCGAGGAGAAACTAAATTAATGAAAGTGACGAGTCCAAATTAGTACGGCCTGCGACTAGGCCGGCCCAAGTTCGGTGAAAGGTCCAACCGGTCCACTAGAAGCTTCTAGGTCGGTTCCTAATTACTTTCCTACCAAGAAAGGGTTTCATAACCTAGCACTATAAATAGGGATCAACCCCTTACATCAAAGATACGCTCTACGCACCATAATGAATACCTCTATTACAATTACTCTTACTGACTTAAGCATCGGAGTGTCTACTCTTGGGAGACCCTGATGCCCTCTTTTGTAGGTTTTAGGGTTTCGATTCCGCCATGGCCGCCGGTTCAATCAACTGGAGACGTCGATGCAGATCTATGCTTCGTCAGAAAGTATTAACATGTACCTTTCCGAATGTACGTGTCGTAAAGGGCGATTGACATTTATGCCAATTTGTGAAGAAAGAAGAGTCATCAGCCCAAACTTTTGAGTGAGAAGTCGATAGGTGATGATCTTAATAATCTACCCCATGGAGATACCAAAGCAGATGCCTTGTTGAGAGAATCGAGAAGGAATCGTAGTGAAGATTTTCACTAGTCTCAAAATTTGTGTCATTAACTGCGGCTAAGATATATCAACTATAGAAATGAGGAGTCTACTGAGAGAATGTGACGTAAGCTTCTGATCGAGAAGTAATTGACCCAACCCTCGAGAACAACCACTAAGTAGTGGATTGAGAAGCCTCACGAATGAAGACAGAGAATACTTGATGTCGAGGACATAAGTTTAAGAAGGAACACTGTTTGGGATTGAACCGCACGTTGAGAACTTGCCTAACATAATCTTTTCTGTAAAGAAATGTTAAGGACCCCAGAGATTTGAATAGACCAGCTCGAGTGTAGTAGAGCATTTAGAGAATCAAGACTGTCTCCATAAGCATCTTCGATTGTCGAGGAGGGACAGAAGAGAGTTGAAGACACCGTAGAAGATGCCGCATGTGATTACGTCAATGCAGGGATAGTGAGACTCAAGAAGATTCTCTCGAGTAGAAATCCACACAAAACTCAAAAATTGCAACTTATCTGACCTTGAAGAAGGTATACAAGCATTTAAGCTTATTTATATCTGCCCAACCGACCCGCTTGCAATTTCTCATGTCCCGAGAAATAAAGCACAGAACCCTTAATCTGGGTTTGAGAAGTATGAATCAGGTTGATGTGTCGAACCCGAGTAGATGTATAATATCGTTGCTCGAGACTTGAGCAAGAATCGAGGAGGTTTTACGCATTAGTGTGAGAAGAAACAGTGCCCCAGTCTGAGCATTAATT